TATACTTGGAAAAGAATTTAATTTGTGAATTATTCTGATATTGGCTGTTTGCTCAGAAACCGCTTCACAAGAAATTGTTACTATTTTATTAATTGTAGAGAAGCACATTTGTAGAGACAATGTGTTCTCCCTCTTCCCCAAAGAATGTACTCATAGGATTATAGGCTGGTCACCAACTAGATTTTTTTCTAGTTCTAGATTCTAGTTCTAGATTTTTCTAGTTTCTAGATTCACCATGGTGAATCTTCCACTGATTTTTCCTGTCACCCTCACTCCAATTCCTTCACAATAACAAGTATGTTGATCCTTCTAGGATACTAACAAAGCCACAGATCACAGATGTAGAGCTGAATGAGACCTTAGAAGTCACCTAGTCCAATCTTTCCTTTTACAGAACAGGATACTGAGGCCTGGAGAGGGAAAGTGACTTGCCAAAGGTCATAGAGAAAGTTGTATCAAAACTCAGACTAGAACCAAGTTCTCCTACTTCCCTGGAGTCTTCTCCATCTTTTGTCTGGGAATATCAAAGTGCTCAGAAACATAATGGAGACATCTCCCTGAATGGCTAGGCTGTAACTAAGGTGGGGCCAACTGGGCTTTGTTCCAAAATTGAGAGCACTTATACTCTTTCAACAGGTAAAACCAACTGAGTATAGCATTTAATTGATGACTTGTTAAAATAGGGAACAACCATCTAATACTTTTCATTGCCTCTTCTGCTCTGCTTCACTATGGCTGTACTGTAAGTGAAATCCCTCCCTTCTGGTCCTACTCTGCTTACGCCCCCTGCGGTGGTTTTGTGGCATGCCAGATCTCTTTATCCTTGCAACCAGATAACATCCTGGAGTCTCCCTTTGTGGAGATTTGTGTCCTCAGGACTGAGATATCTCCCAACACACATATTTTTGCACACAGCCTGAGCTGAATTTGATTTAATAATTCATCTTAATCATTTAAAAAGCAATACGAGGGCACCTTTCATGTTGTTTGTGTTTGCGTGTTTTGATATGCTTGCCTCAGGCCTCAGAATTGATAGTTACTGCTCTACCCAGTAAAACATAAAATGAAGGTAAGGGCTCTTTCTCCCTTTCTCTCTGGTCTTGTCCTCTGTTGTCATAATAATAATAATAATAACAACAATATTATTATTCATATAGTTCTTTAAGGCCTACTAAGACCTTTACGTGCTATTTCATTTGATTCTACTCTGACTGTGAGAGGTGGGAGCTATCATAACCCCCATTGTATAGATGATGACACTGAGATAATTAACTGATTTGGCCAAAGTCACACAGTTAGTTAATGTCTGAGGCAGGATTCAAAATCAAATTCCTGACTTCAAGCCAAGCACTCATACCTGTCATATGGTAGGTGCCTCTATCATATAATACATAATTGGGAATGGTATATTTGGGAGAAACTAAGGGGGAGTATAGACAAAAGAAAGAATAGAGAGAAATAATAACTTAAAAGAGAGCTAAACTACTGTAAACCAAGGACTCCATTCAATTTGATTTGATTCGAATTATACAGAAAACATGCACACTGGCACATAACTCATATGACTTACACAAACACTAATATAAATGACCTGAAGAAGGAAAACATCATTTCAGAAATCTTTAGCTCTAAATCTTGGGCTTAGCCCTGGAGGAAGATTAGGAAGTGGTTTTCTTTATCACTTAGATAAGGAAAATTACTTGACTAGACCACTAGCAAATTGTTACAGATTCACTCTCTAAAGTTTCGAATTTTTTAAAGTCTAAATAAACAGACTTCCTTTTGGAAGACACCTGCTTTTCCCAAAAGCCCATTACTTTTCATTTATGTCTTCTCTGAAATGAGGACCAACTTTCCTTACAATTCTGTTCTGAAGTTTAAAGGCATTGCTTTGTACAATATCAGTTGTAAACAAAGGGATCCCACGTCATCCAAATACATTTTCCTTGCAAAAACTCAGAACCAGATACTCTGTGGTAAAGCAGCAGCTTATCATTCTTTAATTCTCTTTCTGGCTGATTGAAAAGGAAGTATCACATCTGGGTATCTGGCTGGGAAACTAGAGTAGCAAGGTGTGGAGATTTTCGTCATGTATCAACACAGAAGGTCACAAAAACTTGTGATAAACGGAGACTCTAGTCATAACATACTCAACACTCATTATTTCTAAAACCTTATCTTGGCAAATGTGGATGGATAGCAATGTAGGACCAGGGACTTGTCATCAGATCCATTCCTGAGCAGCTTTATACATCACACCAACAAAGTAATTTCTGAGATAACCTCATCTCAAACTATAATATGCAGAATTGTTAAGATGATACCGTATTTGTCACTCTGCAGCAAGGCAAACCTAGCAGTGAATCAATGAATCAATCAGCCAGCATTTATCAAGTGCCTACTAGCACCAGGTCCTTTTCAAGGTACTGGTATTACAAAGATAAAAATAAAACAGTCCCTAACCTCAAGGAGCTCTATAGGAGACTCAACGCATACGCATCTAAACATATACATATAAGCATTTATGTTTATATATTACTTACGCATGTAAATATATCAAAAGTAAATTCAAGTTCACCAGGCTGCAGGGGAAGCACTAGCATCTGGGAAGGGGATCAGGAAAGGCCTTGCCTTCGTGAATATAGATAGAGCTTAGGGTGGGCCCAAGGATACGTCTTGAAATCGATCAATCAGCCAATCAATAAACACGTATTAAGCACCTATTATGTGCCAGGCACTGCTAGGCAGCTATAAAAGGTGATATTCAAGATGGAGGTCAAAGCAGGCTTGGCGTCTCAGAGGCAAAGGTGAGGAGGGAGCAGATCCGGCCCTGAGGGTCAGCCTGAGAAAGACACAGGGACAAAACATGGAGCGTTGAGTGTAAGGGGCAGCAAGAAGGTCCTTTTGGTGGAACCAAAGAATATGTTAAAAGGCGTAATGTGTCATAAGCCTGGAAAGGTCAATTGGAACCAGGTTTGAAGAGTACTGAAGGCCAAACAGGAGTCTGTATTTGCTCTTGGAGGTAAATAGGGAGCACTGGGGTGTATTGAATAAAGGAATGACGTGATCACAACTGTGCTTTGGGAATATCATTATGGCAACTCTATTGAGTATGGACTGGGCAAAGAGAAAGAAGAAGCAAGAGACCAATTAAGAGGCAATTTTAACCATACTAGAATAGCTAGGTGGTACAGTGGATAGCATGCCAGGCCTGGAGTCAAGAAGACCTGAGTTCAAATCCTGCCTCAGGCACTAGCTGCGTGACCCTGGGCGAGTCACTTAACCCTCCTTGCCTCAGTTTCCTCATCTGTAAAATGATCTGGAGAAGGAAATGGTAAACCGCTCCAGTGTCTTTGCCAAGAAAACCCCAAATGGGGTCAAAAAGACTCGAACAAGACTGAAAAATGACAACAACAAATAATAGTACTGGCAAAAGGTGATGAGGGCCTGAAGCAGGGTAGTGAGTGTGTGAATTGGGAAAAGGAGACAGAGGCACAAGGCACTAAGCCTCCAGTCTGTCATCCCTAAAACTGGGGTAGTTCTTCCAGATTTACGAGTGTCACAGGATTATTTTGACAGTCAGATGAGATGATGAATTCAGATTATGGCAAACTATAAAATAAATGTGACCAAAAGGGCAATAGAGAGTGGCATATTGGGTACAAGTAGACTAACGTGTATTTCCATTATGCAAGAAACAGTATACTGGATTTCATTAAGGAAATGTATGAACAGGAAAGAAGTGAATCATGCATGTGTTCAAAGTAGAGGATAACAGAGGGGTAGCTTAGCATGGTATGTGGCATGGAAGATAGAGTGGTAGACTCGTAGTCAGTAAGACTCGAGTTCAACTCCTCTCTCACTTAGAAACTATATAAACATGGGCAAATCATTTAACCTCTCTCAGGCTCAGTTTCCTCACCTAGCAAATAGGGATGATAATAACACTTAATACGTAAGTTTGTGGTGAAATTAAAATGAGATTTTACATTTATATGTGCATGTGTGTATATGCACGTATATGTAAATACGTAGATATATATGAATATACATACTATATATAGTGCTTTGAAAGCTTTAAGACATTATATAAACATTAACTATTTTCATTGTTATCAGAGAGACCTAGTCCTTGAGAAAAGGCTCCTAAATGTTGAATGAATCTTCCATGGAAGATCTATGGGAGAACATGGATAAAAATCACATAGGATGAAAAGATACAATTGGTTTGCAAATAACAATAATTAAGAGTATACCCACATTGGCAAGATCTCGTGTCCTTTGAAGTACTAGAATACTGAAGTACTATTTACAACCTCTCAGAACCTCAGTCTCTTCGTCTGTAAAATGAGGAAAATCATACTCTGCTACAATACATTTCTTATGTGTTGAAGATATGTCCAGACTGATGGCACAGTACTCCCCCTATACTTGAAACAGCCTTTTGCCCCACTACCTATTAAAGGTCTATCCTTTAAATCCCAGCTTAGTTGCCAACTCCTCCCGACTTCCTGAGCTCTCCATTTTTATGACCCTCCCACCTCACATAGCACTTTGCTTGTACCTTTCATGTACCCATCTTTGTATTCTTTTGTATTAAGGTTATTTTGTATTATATGTTAATGTCATGTGACCCTACTCAGATGTAAGATACACGAAGGTAGGAATCATGTCATTTAAATTTCATCCCTCTAGTGCCCGAAATAGTATTCTATACACAATAGATGCTTAATAAGTGAACTGAAATTAATTAGTGGAGGTTTCCCCCCTGGGTAATCAGGTTCTAATTTCTAATCCTACCCTCATGAGTCCAGAAGTAATAAATAGAGAAACAAGAAATAAAGATAGGCAGGAGGGATGAGAACTTGGCTTGCAGCTGATTGAGTTGTCCTGTCCTGCCCTATACTTAGAGAGAGACCTCTCTCACCCCACCAGTTTTACGGTCCTAAGCCTAGAGATAATCCTAGAACTGTTGTGAACATTTTCTTTCCTTCTTCTAGGGAGCATCCAGACCAGACCAGGACTGGATTTAACCGTGACAGTCTTCTGCTCCGTGGGTGCACCATCAGGAACACGGAGGTGGTGGTCGGCATTGTCATCTATGCAGGTCTTTTCACTTCATATGCTTTTCTGCCCCCTTCTTGAGTCCTTGTCAATCTGGGAAGTGATTCCTGGAGTGCTGGGCTTGGAGTCAGGAAGACATGAGTTCAAATCCAGCCTCAGAGGCTTACTTGCTATGTGACTCTTAGCAGGTCATTTAGCCTCTGTTTGCCTCCATTTCCTCAACTGTAAAATGGGGGTAATAATAGCACCTACCTCCCACAATTGTCGTGAGGATCAAATAAGGTAATATTTGTAAAGTACCTAGCACAGTGCCTAGCATATAGTTGCCACTTGATAAATGCTAGCTGTTATTAGCTATTTCCATTTCTTAGGTGGGCAAACTGAGGCCTGGAGCCATGGAAATTCTGCCCGTTTCACTTCCTGACTCCATAGGCCCAGCCCTGCTATGAATCCACAGGTTCCCCACTATGCATGTGGATCCAAGAATGAGAGACAGTCACAGTTGCCTGCTGTGAAAAGTTCTGGCCAATGCAAGGTATATTGGGATAAAGATATCGCTAGTGGTAAAGGACACAACTCTCTGAAGCCAACTCCGTTGATAGGGCTTTTTCTCTCATTTTTGCACATGTGTTTTCAAGGCCGGGGTGAGATTACCCTAGAGGACCATCAGACACCTGCCCAGTGCTTTGTGGAATAAGGTCCTCCTTTCGTCTCTTCGGTGAGAAAGGAGTCTTGGTGCCCAGAAATCTTGCTGGGTACCTGGAATGAGACCAGCCTGCTTTGTGCAGGCTATCCCATCCTATCCAGAAACAAAATAATTCTGTAGTTGTAGGGGGAAAAAATATATAGCTGAACTGCTGGGAGTGTGACCAAGTTTTCTAGGTAATTTTCGAAGGGTAAATTTTCTAGGTAATTTTCTTCAGGGAAGAACGGCTAGAAGCCAGTTTCCACAAAGGAGTGGAATTTTCACAATTATTAAAACTTATTTTTGGAACAGCTACGTGGCACAGTGGATAGAGCACCAGGCCTGAAGTTAGGAGGACCTGAGTTCAAATCCCTCCTCAGACCAAATACTTGACACTTACTAGCTGTGTGACCCTGGGCAAGTCACTTAACCCCAATTGCCTAAAAAATAACCCACTTATTTTTGAAGTTTTAATCACTATCATAATCCTTTTGTATAAAATTAATCAAACTAGAAAGTGAATTTGTAATTTTGCTAATATAACAGACAAGGAAACTCTCCCCCAATGCAGTTCAGCACCTTCTCTGCAACTTACCTGAGAAGTTGAATGACCTGCTTGGGTCACCTAGCCAAGATGTATCTGTGATGGGCCTTGAGCCCAGGTCTTCCTAATTCCAAGGCAGTTCTCTATCCACTATTCCACACTCATCCAACTCAAATTTTCACAGCACTTTAAAACTTAGAAAGTGCTTTTCTCACAACCATGTGAGACAGCACTGATATTTGACAGAGACATGCAGTACCATGGAAGGAGTGCTAGATGAGGCCTTGAATCCTTATTCTACCATTTACTGAGTAGATAACATGGCAAATCAGTTCATATCTCTTACCCTCAATTTGCTAATCTGTAAAAGGAGGAGGTTGGATTACATGACCTCTGAAGTTCCTTCTTGCTCTAAATCTGTGACCTTAAATCAGATGAGAAAACTGAGTTGAAAAGAGATTTACCAGGTCACCCAGTCAGTAATTGAACATTTATTAAACTCTTATTTTGTGTCAGGCCCTTTGTTAAATGTTGGGGATACAAAAAGAGGCAAAAATGCCTTCTTGGGGAGAGGAGGGAAGGAGAAAAAAAATTTTAACTCAAAATCTTATAAAAGTGAATGTTGAAAAGAAATTTAAATTAAAAAAAAAAGAATTAGAGGTTAAATTTGACCCTCTCCCCCCCAAAAAAAAGAGGCAAAAGACAGTCCCTGCCTTTGTGGGACCTATAAGCTTGCATGTTTTGGCCAAGTTGGGAGTCATTCCAATTCCAAATCCACCGTTCTTGCCACCATGTAGCATTGCTTCCATAGCGCTTTTAGCTTTTTCAGAGTGTTTCTTTTCCTTAGAAATTTACAGCTAGAGAAGATCTTAGGGGTCTGCTAATCAAAAGATCATAGACCTAGCACTGTAAGGGACCCCAAAGTCTATTCTTGTTTAGTTCCTTCTTACACATAATGGAAATAAAGCCCAGGGAGGTTAAGCCCAAGGTCACAGAGGAGGGATTTGTCAGAGGTGAAATCTGAACTCAGATCCTCTGGATTCCACTCAGAACCCAGATCTGACTCGAGATCTTTCTATCATCCCCCCGCTCTGGCTCCGATCCCATTAGTTTATGGTAAGGAAACTGAGGCTCACAGAGAAGTGACCTGCTCAAGATTTCACATCCAGGGAGTCATTCTAGCCTGGACAGGACTAGAACCCAGGATGCCTAACTTCTAAGCCTGACTGCTTCTCTGTCCTGCTCTCAACTACTCAATTATTTTTTCTCTCCCCATTTGGCTTCTCTCAGGGGATCTCTTTGGAAACCTAAACTCGTTTTCATCTCACTTTTGTATCTCGAACCATCAGTTCATTCACTCAGTGTTGAGTCAATAATCTTTTTCAATAATTCAATAAATTCAATAGTTTATTGCATATATGCAAGGGAAGATGCTATGCGGATTACATTAAACACACACACACACAAAACTACCGTATGAGAAAGGGTGTGATGTGGCCACAAGAGACCTACAGCATGCTGCCAAGAGGGCCTTCAGAGGGAGGAAAGATCACCGGTGGTTGGGCCAGAGGGTAGATCCAAGAAGGCTTCGTGATGGAGAAAACATCCATGCTGGGTCTACTTCTGTCTTTAAATGATCCCTCCTGTGAGTGCCGGCCAAAAAGCTTTGACTGCTGATTAAATAACCTACTGCCAGGGCTGCCGTCATTGATTTCTGCATCACCTTGATTACTCAGGCCCCAAAGCAAACCAAATACGCCGTCTCGCCCCACGGCAGGACGTGTCTTTGTAAGACCTCATTTTATGTCTCCAAATTCCATGTTTCCCAGAACATGGGTTCAGTTGGCACAGGCAGCTAGGTGGCACAGTGGATAGTGCTGTGGGCTTGGAGTCAGGAGGACCTGAGATCAAATCCAGCCTCAGCTAGTTACTAGCAAGTTACCTAACCTCTATTTGCCTCAGTTTCCGCCACTATAAAATGGAGATCATGACAGTACATACCTTGCAGGGTTGTTGTAAGGTTCACACTAGATAATCTTTGTTAAAAAGCACTTCGCACAGTGCTCCCGCACATAGTAAGTGCTTTATAAATACGTATTCCCTTCCCACTTACCATACTTCTGGGAATCCCTGTGCCATTGTATATCCTCTACCAAATGCAAGTCCCAATAAAAAGGCCTATGTCAAGTGACAACCCTGTGCTCATCACTGAAAGGGGGCTGGCTGGTTTGGTTCGGTTTGGTTTTGCATGGGTTGCATGGTTGACAGATATTTCGGTGACTTTCAGTTTAAGAGCTTCTCTAACCCAGATTTGTCTCGGCTGATCAACAGAAAGGTCTACTGTCACCTTCAGACATGTATCAATTTAATAATTTTGTAAATATTTAAGTGCCTGTTATGGGCCACAGGGTAGGGATACGCACAAGAATTAAATAATCCCTGACCTAAAAGAGTTTACATTCTACTGGGGAGAAACAACAAAAACACAGATAAGTAAATAATACATAATAATTCTTCTTTGGGGGAATCAGGGGTGGAATGGACCAACATCCAGAACAACCAAGAAAAGTCTAGTATAGGAAGACTTGAAATGTATCTTCAAGGAAGCTAGAGATTTCAAGAGGTAGGAAAGTATTCTGGGCATGAGAGATAGCCAGTGCAAAGTCAGAGATGGGATTAGAAATAACCACTTAGAGGGACTAGACAGTAGGCCATTCTGACTGCAATGTAGTGTGTGTGTGTGTGTGTGTGTGTGTGTGTGTGTGTGTGTGTGTCTGTGTGTCTGTGTGTGTCTGTGTGTATGAAGAGCCTGGACATATAAGAACCAGGACTTTCCATTTCAAACAGAGGCATTTATATTTTATGCTGGAGGCAATAGGGAGCCAATGGAACTTCTTGAGCAGTGGAGTAACATGGGCAGACCTACACTTTAGGATTATCACATTGACAATTATGTAGAGGACAGTTGTGATGGAATGTAGAAGAAAGAGACAAGAAACAAGGAGACAAATTAGGAGTCTATTGTAATAATCCATGGGAAAAGTAATAAGGGTCTGAACATGTGGTGGCTGCATGAGTGGAGAGAAGAAGGCAGATATGAAAGATCTTGTAGAGACAGCATCAACAGGTCTTGGCAACTGAATGAATATGTGGAGTGAGGGAGAATCTAAAGTTAATGATAACACCAAGGTGGCAAACCTGGGTGACTGGAAGGATGGGGCACCCTTGACATAAATATGGAAATTAGGGCTTTTGGTATAAATGATCACAAGCATGTTTTTGGACAGGGAGAGTTTGTGATGTCTTTGAGACACAGAGAATGACAAGTCTACCAGACAGTTGGTGACGCAGGATCAGATCTCAAAAGAGAGAAAAGGGCTGGGTATGGAGATGCAGAGGTCATCTACATAGGTGATGACTTAAACCCGTGAAGTTGACTAGATGACCAAGAAAGGAGAGGGCCCAGAGCCCTGGGATTTACCCACATGAAAATGGCTAACAATGCAGCAAAGGAGACTAAGAAGGAGTGACCAGAGAGATGGAAGAACCAAGAGGAAAATGTCACCAAAACCAAGGGAGGAGCAAGTATCCAGAAGGAAGCTGGGAGTCCGCAGTATCAAAAGCTGCAAAGATATCCAAAAGGATGAGAATTAAGAAAAAACCATTTGATTTATCAATTAAGAGATTACTGGTAATCTCAAATCTCAAATCAAAGAAATCTCAGTCCGATGCTGAGTCAGAAGCCAGATTACAAAAGGTTAAGAAATATGAAAGACTAGAGGTAACAGAAGTAGAAAACATTTTGGAAGTGAAA